TGTTGTTGTTGTTGTGGGCAAACGGCAGATTTTAAAGTGTTTCTAAGCGTTTCTTAGATTATCGGTTCAGTTTCTTCTTTTATATCTGAGTTCAGACGCCGCGTGCTCAGCGCTGCTCTGTGAGGCGTGCAGCAGGTGCAGCAGGTGCAGCAGGTGCAGCAGGTGCAGCAGGATAGCAGTGGAGGGTGTACGAGACCGACCTGGAGGAGATGATGTCATATACGAGTATCTACGTCTGGTTTTCACTGACAGCCTGTTTACGTCATTATCATCAGTCTCTATGCGGAGTATCATCTGTGTAACTATGGTAACAAACATCTGACAGCGTTGCCGTTGGCAGCGTTCTACCTGAAGGTAAAGGGTCGTCCTGTTCGCTCTGTGAAGCTTCGTGGTGTTTTTCAGGGAGAAGGATCTGATGGCAAAGTGCATCATCGAGATGGAAGGAACCAAAACCTCCATCACCAACCTGAAGGTAACGCTCTCATTTGTCAGAATGGCGGGAAAACGGGCTCACCGCTCTGTTTGTAACCTCTGAGCTGTGATTGGTTCAGATCTCCGATGGCGTCCTCGGCGACTCGGTGAGGGAGCACACCAAAACCTTCACGTACGACTTCTCCTACGACTCGATGGACTGTAAGAGCGCCACCTTCGTCTCTCAGGAAAAGGTGAGCGGGTCACGCGCTGCAGCCCGTCGTATTGACTCCGCCTCCGTGGTGTCACAAAGAAGAAATACAACCTCATTTGTTCTCTTTCACTCGCAGGTTTTCAAAGATTTGGGCTCCGACGTGCTGAAGGCGGCGTTCGAGGGCTACAACGCCTGCGTCTTCGCCTACGGTCAGACGGGCTCCGGGAAGTCCTACACCATGATGGGAGCGCCGGTGAGACCGCCAAAGTGTGCTCCACTTTAAACTGACTGCATGTATTTTACTCAAAAACACCTCGAGCGCTGAAGCTGCTGCCGATTGGCAGATTACTCAGTTGTTTGCCGGCATCGACGCTCTGCCGTTCCTTCAGACGTGCTCCGAGGTTCCTTCGTGTTCACCACCAGCTGAACGCTCCGAGCGTGTTGTGACGGAGCACGACGATGGTGTAGATCAGGGGTGGGGAACTCCAGGCCTCGAGGGCCGGTGTGATGCAGGTTTTAGATGCGTCCTGGTAATGAACTAATCGTGTGACTCAGGACCTAAAACCTGCAGGACGCCGGCCCTCGAGGTCTGGAGTTCCCCACCCCGATGTAGATGAAAGCTCAGCCGGCCGATCTGATGTCTGTGGTCTCGGTTTAGGGCGACGCCGGCCTGATCCCGAGGATCTGTGAGGGTTTGTTCAGTCGGATCTCGGAGGCCACTCGATGGGACGAAGCTTCGTTTCGCACAGAAGTCAGGTGAGAGTCCGACTCCAGCACGCGAGGGTCCAGCCAGAAAGGCTGCTTTCACGTTTGTGCTTGTGTCCTCAGCTACCTGGAGATCTACAACGAGAGGGTCAGAGACCTGCTGAGGAGGAAGTCCACTCAGACCTACAACCTGAGGGTCAGGGAGCACCCGAAAGGCGGGCCCTACGTGGAAGGTAAAACCTTTATGTCCGGTGCCCCTGAACCGCTGATGCAGAGTTTGGTTCTTTTTTGATGATTCTTGGGGGGCGGGGCTGGGGGTCAAGGTGTTACCCATCAGCCTCACCACGTCCACGTCACACAGCCCGCGCTCGCTCTTCCGATCTTTGATACGATCGTCTTCTCTGAGCTCGGCGTGTTTTCCCTCCTGACCTCAGATCTGTCCAAACACCTGGTGCAGAACTACGGCGACGTGGAGGAGCTGATGGAGGCCGGAAACATCAACCGCACCACCGCCAGCACCGGCATGAACGATGTCAGCAGCCGCTCACACGCCATCTTCACCATCAACTTCACACAGGTCAGCGACGGTCACGGGTTCCACGCCATCATAAAGAAGTCAGCAGAGGAAGTGCTCGGCTGAGCTCGACGATTTTCATACGAATATTTTTACCAATAATCCGAGAGAAGTGACACGAAAACAAGCCGCGAGCGAGAGAAGAACCACGAGAGCTCTGAAATGATCTCCGTGCTTCAAAGTGATGGCCGTGGATGTCGTGTAAACGTTCACGGATGGTGATTGTTTGCTTTTGCTGCTCGACCCTTGTAGGCCAAGTTCGATGCCGAGATGCCCAGCGAAACCCTCAGTAAGATCCACCTGGTCGATCTGGCCGGCAGCGAGCGAGCCGACGCCACTGGAGCCACCGGCGTCCGACTGAAGGAGGGCGGGAACATCAACAAGTCGCTGGTCACCCTGGGCAACGTCATCTCTGCTTTAGGTCAGGAGCGGTTTGTCTTCAGGGGCGGGGTTAACTGTTTTTAATCGTAGATTTTGTTTCCGTTGTGTCATCAGTGCTTCAGTTTTTGTTTTCAGGGATGGAGTCAAAGTCGGGCGCCTCGTTAAAGCCGCCGATCGCTCCTCATTCTGACTGACGGATGTTTCTCGTTCCAGCCGACATGTCGCAGGGCGGCGTGAACACCAACCTGAAGAAGAAGTCGGTGTTCGTTCCCTACAGAGACTCGGTGCTGACGTGGCTGCTGAAGGACAGCCTGGGCGGAAACTCCAAGACCATCATGATCGCCAGTGAGCAGAAAACACGAAGTGAACGTATGCGAGTGTCCGAGAGCGCCCCGAGAAAACGCAATCTCCTTCTGTTTCAGCCATTTCTCCCGCCGACGTAAATTACGGCGAGACGCTCAGCACTCTGCGCTACGCCAACCGAGCCAAGAACATCATCAACAAACCCACCATCAACGAGGACGCCAACGTCAGGCTGATCCGAGAACTGCGGGCTGAAATCGCCCGGCTCAAAGCTCTGTTGGTCCAGGGCAACCAGGTAAGAACTACAAACATGGCGGTTGTTGTGCAGGACTACAGCGTCTTCCTCTGTGCCTTTTAAAGTGATGCGTGTTGCCTGCGGCCTCGGAAACAGGAAATCGTCCGGTTCCCGAGGCCGCAGACTGAGCGCGCTCAGTAGCTTGGTGGTTTCTGTTTGTCAGATCGCTCTGCTGGACTCGCCCACCGCTCTGAGCATGGAGGAGAAGCTGCACCAGAATGAAGCCCGGGTGAGTCTCACGCCGTCCGGCAGCTTGACCGCCGTTACGTTTACAGCTGAGAGCAGAAGCAGCTGACGCTCTGCTGTTTGCAGGTCTTGGAGCTGACTAAAGAGTGGACCAACAAATGGAACGAGACTCAAAACATCCTCAAGGTAGCGGCGAGCATTGACCATCCGGCCCCCCTCGGAGCAGATGTTTGTTTTTTGTGGCTGAAGTTGTAAAATGTTGCAGGAGGAGACGCTCGCTCTGAGGAAAGAGGGCATCGGCGTGGTGCTGGACTCCGAGCTACCTCACCTCATCGGCATCGACGACGACCTCCTCAGCACCGGCATCATCCTCTACCATTTAAAGGTCAGCGCTCCCGGACTCACCTTTAGATTAGTGCTCGTTTATGCTGTCAGGCTGCATCCACACACGGATACCTGCCAGCCACTAACATCCAATCACAGTGCTTGCTGCACGGTCTGTTATTATTGGTCAGATAATCTCAGTCCTCTAAACAGCTCAGGTGAGTCGTAAAGGTGTTATGAAGGAGTGAAGACCAAACTGTTTGTGTGTCACGCTGTAAACACTCTGTGCGGCTGACTCGCCGCTGCCCCCGCTGGACGTCAGGGGTGGGTGCAGTGACTGCGTGTCTCTGTCTCGTTTCTGCAGGAGGGGCGGACCTACGTGGGCAGAGAGGACGCGTCCACAGAGCAGGACATCAGTGAGTCATAACTGTAGTGATGATGAGTGCAGAGGCTGATGGCGTTGCTGACCGTGATCTCGTTCCTCCTGCAGTCCTGCACGGTCTGGACCTGGAGAGCGAGCACTGCATGTTTGAGAACCAGAACGGGACGGTGACTCTGGTGCCGCTCGCCGGAGCTCAGTGTTCGGTCAACGGAGTCCAGGTGACGGCGCCGTCGCAGCTCAACCAGGGTGAGGCCCGTCTCCAGCTGTAGCTTGTTGCTCTGTCTAAACAGATTTTAAAGGGCTGAAGGTAATGGAGGGCGTTGCCACAGTAACGTGATGCTTCAGCACGTGTTCGCTGTGCACAGACCAGGACACCTGGATCTCCGTCCGGAGGCGACACACCTTTACCTGAGAGATGCTCTTTGTTCTGTCGCTCTGATTTGAGTCGTCCGTTTCTGTCGTGTGCGGTTTTGTTTTCCAGGCGCCGTCATTCTGCTCGGCAGGACCAACATGTTTCGCTTCAACCATCCGAAGGAGGCGGCCAAGCTGCGGGAGAAACGAAAGGTGAGGGCGTGGCCTCAGTTAGGTGTTGAAAGGTGTTTGAAGGTCTTTGGTGAACCTCACGAGGACGCCGTCTGCCTGTTTCAGAGTGGCCTTCTCTCCACGTTCAGCCTCTCCATGACCGATCTGTCCAAGTCCTGCGAGAACCTCTCCACTGTGATGCTGTACAACCCCGGGTGACTGCACGCGCACACACACGCACACAGAGGGGGGTGAACATCAGCTTGAACTTCTCGGCTCCATCAGGAGCTTCATGCAGTGGCTGCTGATGGAGCGATGACGTCACACACCAGCTGACCTTTAACCTGTCGGCTCGGAGAGCACAGGCTGTGATTTCTGATTGTGCGACTCTGCAAACAGAGCAGTGACTGCATCGTGCGCGCCTCCTCGCTCTGTCCTCCACACTGAGTGGGAGTCCGTGTGAAGCGGACGGCCGCGCCTCCTCCATCAGGAGGAGGCGCGGCCGTCTTACATCACTGAAAGAATCCATCATTACTTCAGTCCATGAGCTTAAATAAAATAACGACACCATCAGGAAGCTGCTCTGCATGAAGCCGTTTCTCCATTATTCAGCCAAACTTCCAGTCTGCAGATCTCTCGCTGCCATCACCACACGGGCGCTGCACGCGTCAGGGGAAGTTTCTGAGCTCGCTTTTAGACACGAGCCGATGCACGGCGCCATAACGCCGTACAGACTTCAAACGGCGTGAGAGCGCTCAGACGACCGAGGTTTGATGAGTCAGCAGGTCATCGGCTGCTCCAGCAGCGAGTTCAGGGCTGCAGATTAGCGCGGCGTGCTTCACGTCGTCTAATTTTACTCACGTCGTACGATGATTAAAGTAATTAAACATTCAGGAACAGCTGAAGTGAGCTCAGCTCGGTCGGCCACACCTCTCCGACTCTCCAAGCGTCTCTAACGCAGAGACGTCCGCTGAGCTCGCCGCCCTCGACTGACATCCTCTGCAGAGGTCTGATCCTTAACCCCGCGCCGCGCCGCAGACGCCGACCAATCGTTCTTCTCGTTGCTGTGAATCATGGCTGAATATCGACACCCCGCTCTGTACAGTTTGTTACAGTCATGTTATATTTTAAGCAGCTCCAGCGGTTCCAGGAGGGAACGCCCGTTATTTCTAATAAGTCTGAAGACGAAGTCGCCTGACACACCTGAGGAGTAGCTAAAGGAGGGCAGGGAGTTTCCTGTCGTGCTGTGATTGAAGGATGTAACTGTGTCCCTGTCCCGTTCACAGTCTCTTCACTGAGAAGGGCCCCGTCTTCCTCAGGTAGACTCAGCCGTGCACTTCCTGTCTAACTGTCCCGTTTTGACCCAAAGACGTGTGTCGACTCGTCCCGTGCCTCCTCACCTCCACCCTCACTGTCTGCTTCATCCATGCTGTTTATTTGCTCACCAGCTTCCTGCTTCTGTTCCGCTGTGAGGTTAGACGTGTCGCCGCTTGCCGTCTCATCCCAAGCTGTTTGTCTGACGTGCTGCCGCCGCTCGACTGTGTGTGTTTGTGCGTTTGGGCGCTCCGAGGAAGCTGACGGAGGTGTGTTGTTTCCTAGGTTGGAGTTTGAGCGACAGCAGCGAGAAGAGCTGGAGAAGCTGGAGATGAAGAGGTACGTGTCCGCCCACCTGAAGACCAGCTCTCTGATTGGTGGAGCTCGGGCGGCTCGGCTGACGTTTGCTTTGTTTTGTTCCCGCAGGAGGCTGATCAAAGAGATGGAGGCCAAGCAGCAGAGCGAGAAGGTGGAGCTGGAGCGCCTCCAGCAGGAGGTGGAGAGTCAGCGCAAGGAGTCCGAGGAGGTGCAGCAGCGGATCCTCCGCCAGGAGGAGAGCCTCCACCGCCGCAGCCAGGACATCGAGAGCCGGCTGCGAGACTTCCTGGCTGAGAAGGAGCGCTTCGAGGAGGAGAGGCGCTCCGAGATCAATGAGGTGGATCTCCAGCGGAGGCGACGGCGGAAGGAGCCGCAGGAGCACGAGGCAGACCGTGCGGAGGAGCAGGACGAGCAGCAGCGGAGGCACCAGGAGGCGGCAGAGCAGACGGAGATCTACCGCGAGCTGGAGCGGCTGAAGAGGGAGCGCGAGGAGCAGCGGGTGCGTCTGGAGACGGAGCGGCGGCGGCTGGAGGAGCAAGAGCGCGAGCAGCTGAGTCTGGTGGGGCGGCTGGAGGAGCAGCTGAGGGAGAAACACGAAGCTGCCACCGCCCTGCTGACCCGGGAGGACGCCCGCCGCCTGGAGGAGGAGCAGCAGGCGCTGACAGAGATCAGAGAAGCCCTCCTCTGCGCCAAAGAGGCCGCCGAGCGGCCGGACGTGGAGGATGCTGGCGAGGAGGCGTGGGCCGCCCAGAGCCGCTACGCCGACTTCAAGGCGGCTCAGGTGAAGGAGCTGGACCTGCTGGAGGAGGGGCTGCGGCAGCAAAGGGAGCGCCTGGAGAAGGAGGTTGCCGCCGAGCGTGGCGCCCTGCTGCTCCTCACCCACGGCCTGAGAGAGCGCCAGCAGCACCTGAAGGAGACGCAGGAGAAGGGAGCGCAGGAAGCCACCGCTGTCTGCCACGAGGAGCAGCTCCTCCGACAGGCGGAGCACAGGCTGCAGCTGAAGGAGCGACAGCTCGCCAACCTTGCCAACGGCCTCCTCCCCGCCCTCGCTGAGGAGAAGCAGAGAGCGTCGGAGCTGCTGGAGCGCAGCGGCGGCGGCGGCAACGGGAACTGCGACCGATCTCCGGGGCTCGACAACACGCTGTTCCAGGTGGAGAAGGAGCTGGAGGACAAAGAGGAGAAGCTGAGCCTCCATTGGCACAGCGCCCGGCAGCTCCAGCAGCTCCAGGAGACCTACGAGTTCACGGCCAACGTGGCGCGGCAGGAGGAGAAGGTGAGGAGGAAGGAGAAGGAGATCCTGGAGTCAAAGGAGAAGCAGCAGAGGGAGGCGATGGAGCAGGCCGTGGCCCGGCTGGAGAGGAGGCACTCCGCCCTGAGGCGAAGCGTCTCCCTCGAGCCCGACTCCGAGGAGCAGAGGAGCAAGAGCTCTGTCGCCAGGACCCCCAGGACGGGGGCGGAGCTGGACCAGCAGAGGTTCCTATGGAAACGGTTTCCGAAAGGAACCGGTTTAATCCGGCAGTTGCACATTTTATTTATTCTTGCTGGGGCTTTTATTTTGAAGGCTCACTGTGTGTTTCGTGTCCAGAGTGCAGCGCGAGATCCAGAAGCTGCGGCAGCGAATCAGCGAGGGCGACGACACCAGCCGGACGCACTCCATCAGCAGCGACGAGCGGGCGGGTCACGGCG